GAGCATTTGTGAGGTCAGGCATTGATGTTGGATGTGAAGGACTGGCTTTCAGTGTACATTTGATGGGGTTGAGGTCAGGGCTCTGTGTGGGCCAGTCAAGTTCTTCCATACCAGACTCACCCAACCATGTCTTTAAGAACCTTGCTTTGTGCACTGGGGCACAGTCATGCTGGAACAGAAGAGGGCTCTTCCCCAAGCTGTTCCTACAAAGTTGGCAGCACAGAAATGTCCAAAATATCTTGATATTCTGAAGCATTAAGAGTTCCCTTCACTGGAACTAAGGGGCCAAACCCAACCCCTGAAAAACAACCCCACACCATAATCACCCCTCCACCAAACTTTACAGCAGGCACAATGCAGTCAGGTAGGTAATGTTCAATTGGACTGTTACCTTGAAGGATTTCCTGGCATCTGCCAAAGTCAGACTCATCCATCCATCAGACTGCCAGGCAGAGAAGCTTGCGTCACACCACTCCATCCGACGCTTGGCATTATGCTTGGTGATATGAGGCTTGCAAGCAGCTGCTCGGCCATGGAGACCCATTCCATGAAGCTCTCAGTGCTCAGTTTTTGTACTGGGGTTAATGCCAGAGGAAGTTTGGAACTCTGCAGTTATTGAGTCAATAGAACGCTGGCGACTTTTACGCACTATATGCACCTCAGTACCTCAGTACTCACCTCAGTACGACCCAACTCTTACTTTACTTCGCCTGCCACTTTATGTCTCTTTTGTTCCTAAACGCTGCCACTTCACAATAATACCACTTAAAGTTGACCATAGAATATCTAAAAGGGAGGAAATGTCATGAACTGGCATCCTATTAGAGTACCACGCTTGAATTCACTGAGCTCTTCAGAATGATCTATTCTTTCACAAATGTTTGTAAACCTGACTACATGGCTAGGTGTCTGATTTTATACCTCTATGGCAATGGGTTTGAATGAAGTCAGGTTTACAAACATTTGTGAAAGAATAGATCATTATGAAGAGCTCAGTGAATTCAAGCGTGGTACTGTCATAGGACACTACGTGACACTGAAATAGTTCTGCTAAAATTATATATATATATATATATATATATATATATATATATATACAGGGACGTGCACAGACATTTTGAGGGGCAGGGGCTCAAGTGAAATAAAGGGCACTCTCATAATTACGTATTT